CCTAGCGTTTTTAGTCATTTTTCAGCTGGGGAAAAAAATTGAGTGGTATTGAGTATTTTGAGATTTGATCATAGGCTGTGCTGTCCTTCTAAGGGCAGCCTTTACCTTCAATACTAATTGTAATGCAGATTTTACTCTGCTTAGATGCATCCTTTGTTGACTCTAGTGGTCCCATTGTTTTCTATGCAGTCTTTGCAAGGAGTTTTGCATGGTAACGTTGACCTAGTGGACTGGAAATTGGAACTGAGAGAAAATGGATCACAAATGTCAGTCCTAGGTTTGAAACATCATCAATTCACTATATAGACAGGAAGGCAGAGCCAGGCTTGTTACTCACAAAACAACTGGACAGTATATTGGCTAAACGTTTTGCTCCACAGCTCTGCTCTTACAAGGACTAGAAATCTGCTTTTAAAAAGAAGCTTGTAATCCAAGCCAGATGATGATCCAAATGAATACTGCTATATCACTGCCACTCATTTATTAATTTTGCTCAGTTTCCTGCGTCCTAGCCTTGGATGTCAATATATGATAAAATATCCTTGTCCAGAAGGCTTAAACTTTTATGAACAATATGCTGTTGGCATATGAACTATATGCCACTGTATAACAACAGTGCTTATCGTACTTACAATATGCTATGAAATACGTATATTTTGCCCATGGAATAAATATTTAAGTATTGTTGAAAAACTGTGGTTAAACTGTTGTAATGTGTTGATGGGAATGTTCCGTTTCAGTATAAATAACTGGAACTCTGCTTATCTATAATAATATATGCTTGGGTTTAGAATCTGTCCATGAAAACAGAAGCCATCTTAGAATAACTCCAGCAGATGCTGCCTCTCGAATACTGCTAGAAGGTAGATGACTAGCCTACAACATGAACACTTATAAATTTATTTTATTAATTTAAACAGCCAAAGCACTCTGCTTGCATATTACCACTTTTTAAACAAGGCTGTGGGGGGAAATGGCATCACACTACCAGGGGAAAGTCATAATAGGGTTAAGTATGATTGACATAATGTGTTCCTTTCCATTAGTATAGTCCTAAATGGTGTTGCTCTGGAGCCAGTGTGGTATAGCAGTTTGAGTGTTGGACTAGGACTCTGGAGACCAGGGTTAGAATACCCACTCAGTCATGGAAACCCACTGGGTGACTTTGGGCAAGTCATACTCTCTTGGCCTCAGGGGAAGACAAGGGGGAAAAGACTTCTAAACACTTATTGCCAAGAAAACCCTATGATAAGTTTACTTCAGAGTTGCCATAAGTTGGAAACAACTTGAAGGCACACAACAACAAAAATGTTGCAGTACTGATGGTTGACATCATAGCTAGTCCCTGTTCTTGTGGTGGAATCCAATGTTGGTGAGTCTCAACTAAAGTAGGCCCATTCAATCAGCTGTTGAATGGTGAGTCCACACATAGGTAAATCGAACTGATGGAATGGCATTACTCTAGTCAGGACCCTATCAGCACATTACAACAGTTTAACCACAGTTTTTCTAACAATAATTAAATATTTAAATACTTATTCCATGGGCAAAACTCAAAGACATGGGGGTGCCACTACATCTGATAGTCCTGATGAGGAATCTGTACCAAGGACAAGAGGCCACCATGATAACAGAATTCAGCAAAACAGAGAGGTTCCCAGTTGGTAAAGGGGTCAGGCAAGGCTGCATCCTGTCACCTTATTGTTTAACTTATATGCTGAAAACATCATAAGAAAAGCAGAATTAAAATAAAAAAATGAGTAGTTAAGATAGAAGGAAGCAACATTAACAACTTAGGATATGTGGACAACACCGTAATATTAGCAGAAGATATTAAGGAATTGGAACAGTTAATAAGGAAGTTCAAAGATAAAAGTGCAAAGGCAGGTCTTGTGCTGAACATAAAGAAAACAAAAATAATGACCACAGAAAAAATACACAAATTCAATCTAGACAATGAGGAAATTGAAATAGTCAAAGAATTCCCATATCTAGGATCAAACACTGACCAGAATGGAGACTGCAGTCA